GGACGGAGACCCAACTCTACATTCCTGATGAGATTCTAGCATACCAGCCCCTTGAAAAAATGGTTGTGGCGATATATAGTGCACCTGGAGAAAGACTTTTCAAATATAGAACCTGTCACAGACGTGTCTCAGATAATGGAGCTTGATGTGTTTACAAAGCAGTATAGTTATCTCCATTGCCCGGGCAGCGCGGTGTTTTTTATCAAGAATTATAAGCGATAGCTTCATATATATGGCATAGCATTGACACCAATGGGTAGCACCCTGTTGCTTTTGAAATCTAATTCTGATGCAACCATCAGTGTGAAAGACCTACAGCCTGAGATTGTATGCAATATCCATGAACCAACCATTCTCTTGTATGCAAAGTATTGTAGCAAAAATCATTCCCATGGGATTATATTCAGCAAGAGGGGATGATTCGACTGCACAGAGTACCGAGAATGATTTGTCAGATGCCATTTCAGGAAACAGGTCAGGAATGCTCGCTTACAGTATTTAACATAATTTCGCTCAACTGTCGAACCTTCACAGTGGCTGTGAAGCTGACGACAAATGTGGCGCGAGGAATGCTGGCCGGGAGGCAAATACTTCATCGAGTCGAAACCAAGACTGGCACGCGGTGTTCTCGAGCTCTGGGGATATTGTGGGGCAATGATCTCTCATGGCTCGGATATTCCCGATCGACAGCTTGTGTCGATCGATGGCAATCTAGACAATGGGAAATGCAATCGATTACATCGTTGACGCGGCCGAAGCAATGAGATTGCGATCCACGGACGGCCTACCCGCGGATAGACTGAGCCACCGCACTTTAATTGCCAGCACATGAGTGACACTGCCACAGGAGAACATGAGATGCCAGAGCTCACCCGATGCTCATGAAACAGAACCATGGGTGGCTGATGGTCCGACTGTTGAGCACATGGACTCTGTTTATTTCGGCCGGACGGGGCTCTCTGCCGTCATTTATCTATCGCGTTTTGCCATAACCCGGGTCTGCATTTCCTCATGCAGATAGTAACGGAATGGCTTCAGACACCATGGTGCCCCAAGGATCAAATTCTCCAATAGCGGTGATTGCGGTGACTGTCGGAGCATTTGTGATCGTCCTTGTCGCAATGATGTACGAGCCCCAACCTGTCGGTGCTCTTCAGGACCCCGCGGTCGAGAGTTGAAGAGTGAAGCGCATCAAGCTAACGAATGTACAGAGGGATTTTCGTACAAGTGCGCAGAAATGCAGCTCGTACTTCGGCCTCAACCATCTTAAAAGAAAAAACCAAGCACCAGTCAGACACAGAAATGCTGCAGCAGCTGGAGTCTCTCTGTCCCACCAAATCGTACGACGAATGGGTAGAACACTCCCAGATCGAGCAAGACTTGTCTGATCGCGGTTCGACGCACTTCACATGGTAGGTTGATCGCTACTCTTGACACCTTTCTCAACCGGTCGACTAACAACTATATTAGTTCCATGTGTCTCGAAGATGTAAATGGAACGGATCTAATGCACGTGCTGTCCTGTCGCCATGTATATCATGCACAGTGCCTGGAGCAGTGGTTCCTTGGGCGTCACTTTTCGTGTCCTCTATGTAACCGAGCATTCTTCGAACAGAACGAGCCGGGGCCAAATAACGTCTAGTCTCACAGGATTTTGTATTTATTATGAAATATGTTCATACTCGAATGACTGTTCCAATCATCATCAGATCGAAACCTCCATGACAGGTCCCGTGTACACCTTCCTCGCCCGCAGCACATAGTACAGAAGTGCCAGGAGAATAGTCCCCACAGTGCCGACCACACTAAAGTTCATCGTTGTCTTGTTGACCGACATTTGAGAAGGCCAGAAACTGAAGAACACGACAATCACCATATAAATCACCGCGTAGGTGTTGACCGCAGTGCCCCAAATCCCAGGCACATGGAATGGGCCCCAGGCCAGCTTGGCCCCGGGAACATTGACGGCCCCGTCTTCTCCATGATCGTATTGTGAGATGGCGCCCGTGCACCGCCGGTAGAGAAGAAGAGTTCCGACCATGAGGTAGGAGAGATAGAGACCAGAGACCGCCATGGAGACGACGGCGTTGAGGGCGACGCTGGATCCGATGTTGATGAGGCCCAGAAGACAGCATACGGTCATTGTAAGAAGGATGGAGTACGTGGGGAGGCAATTACTAGGGGAGACCTGGAAGCGACAACATGTCAGTTATGCTTACCCGAGAGCACGGTGGTGAGCATACCTTGCTCCAGATGCGCCATCCAGGGACAGCTCGGTCACGCGCAAAAGACCAGAACTGACGAGATGTTGCGGCGAGCATTCCAATCACGGAGCAGATACCAATGATCAGTAAGATCGAGGTCATTCCCAGGGCCCCTGAAATTGAATTGGTAGCCTGGCGGAAAATCTCCATGTATGGATATCCAGTGGGACTTGCCAGGGCAGCGTCGAGATCGCCCAGGCAGAACAGTACAGCAATCAACATGCTAAATCCGAGCGCTCCATTGATGAGAACGGATAGAAGAATAGCCCTCGGAATCGCCACCGATGCATTGCGCACCTCCTCGGCCATCTGGGTTCTGGTCAATAATCCAATTTTCTCAAGGAAGTCGAAGGGTCCATACATGCACAGCAGCATCGCCTCCAGCAAAGGCGAAAACGCAACCTGTCATTCCAACGAACCAGGACAGCCCCTCAGTGGGAAATCCACCACTGTTGTTAAAGCTGAGAAATACGTCGTGCGAGGACTTGTGGTCGGCCATGTAGGTCATCGGGATGAGAATGGCAAAGAAGCCCAGCAGATGTACCACCAAGATGACTGTCTCGAGCCGGGGTAGCAACTTGCCTCCCACCAAGTTGATTCCCAACGCCAACAGGACGGCGGCCCACATGATAAGGGTTCCATGCCAGGGCTGCGCCTGGTAAAGCTCATGACCGAGACGGACGGCGCCTTGGATCTGTGTTCCCGCGAGAAACGAGGACGAGGCAAATGCGGCCTGCCATCCAATGACGGTAACCCATCCTATAATGATGAGGTCAGTAGTGTCGATGGTGATTCGATGATATACCTACCGGTCATGTAACTGAGGAACTTCATGAGATGCGGCGGAGAAAGCATTGCGCACCAATGGTATTGACCTCCAGATGTTGGTGCCCTTACGGTTGTCAGTATTCAATTCCAGACGGCAAAGATAATTGCAAGATGTGTCCACATACATCGAGGCCAATTCAGATATTACTACAAAGCAACATGCGGTTCCTGTCCAGGCGAAAATAAAGGCGTAGACGGCTCCTCCAGGGCCTCCACTGGATGCTGTTAGTTTGGACTTTGTTTCTCCAGATTCGTATTACTGACTTTGATAGAGGCATGAGCAAAGTACTATGGAGGAGAATTCATTAGTGGCGTGTTGGGTCATTGAGAGGTCAGGAATCATACTTGAACAAGCCTTCCCATGTCGCAAGAATTGTGCAGCTGAACCCGAGTGTGGATAGAATGCCAAATGTTCGCTAAAACGAGGTCAGATTACGGAACAGTCGGAGAGAAGCAGCCTATTTACCTTCAGAACCGATTTCTTTCCCAGTCGCGCCAGGTCGGTGGCATCGCGATCATGGCTGCGAACCTCTTCGTTCGCGGAGACAGCGCGTTCCTTGAGTTGATGCGACTCCATGTTTATGATTCCGCGGAACAGCAGGACCAGTGATAGAACTGAATGGCTGTTGGAATTTGTCACCATGAACGTCGGGAATGGTTCATTTTAAGGTCCAGGAGCAAGGAAAAGTGGGTTTGCTGGACAGAACCCAAGACTCCCAGACCAATCTGGCCACCGTCGAAACACCTTCCATTCAGGTTCTAGTCCTGAACGCAAAGGGAGCCGTCTTATGGGTGGGAAGTAACCCCGACTGAAGCCGATATCGATGGTGGCTGTCTAACGTACGATCCCTGTCATCCCCCTGTCTTACGGGTCATTGTCAGGGGTTGCAACCAGGATACGATCAAGAAGTTCACACTTGTCGCCTTCGACGCCCAGCGATCGAAGACCACCACGAACTCGGTATCATAAGACAACATCGGTCTTAATTACTATTGCGATGCTCAAATGTCCGAATTGCCGAGTCTTCGATTGATCACAAAGCTTAGGATCTGCTTCGTCCGTCTCGAGTTCTTGTCCCGCCTACCCACCCGATCCAAGACCCATTTGATCGTGTCGCAGAGTAGACTTCGTTAGACGATTTACTCTGAAACTAGTCCTTTTATCAATCGGCATTGGCTGCTGAAATCAGTTAGACCACCGTCAATCCACCCTCTAGCATCCACTCCTATTGCGTGACGTCTCTTGGCGCGACAAGGGTCCGGCCAACAATGTAACCTTACTCCGTATTTTTACAAGGATGAGAAAATTTTGTCTCCCATGGTCGCATGCTCTTGATGCACGAGCCAGGGTCTGCGCCGGGCGTGTTTCACCGGAGTAGTAGTCAGTCGGGGGAGAAGTCGGGGGAGGTTCCGTGTCCATGCTGTGCTCGTGTCTGGGATTTGCGATGAGGGCTGCACTTGTTGCTCCCGCGACGCTCGCGGTGGTATGCGCATGCGAGTTATTTTCACATAGATGCTGGTGCCGGCGACAGGCACTTTGGATGAGATCGCGAGAAGATCTCCCAAGGGCATGAGATGCGAAATGGAGGAAACATCTTATTGGTAGTCTTTTGTTCACCAATGCGGATAGTCCACGAGGATGGCACGGAAGGATGAGATCCCTGTCCCTCCCTGGTCGTAATCAAACTTTGGATGTTTCTATCAGCTTAGAGTGGGCTGGCGTGAGGTCTACTGATTATTGGCATTGATTCGACGTTAAATGTCCAGGAAGTTTCTGTTTTCATCTCTCATCATGTCATCCATGCCAGGTTACCTCTCCTTTTCCTGACATGAATGCCATTGTGATTGACAAGCGCTGTTGAAGTAGCTGGGCTTTTATCAACTGCCTGCAGGGCATGACTGGCAGACATGGGGCGATTTGCCAACATCGATACCCGGGATCCTGCCGTCAATGTCACCAACTGGTTCCTGGTCGTTGTTGCGGGTTTAAGCGTCCTTATTCGACTGGGGACGAAGTTCTGGATCTTTCACCGGTTGACCAGCGATGACTACCTGATAATCGCATCTTTGGTAAGTTTACGAATGTAAAGCCCAGGAGAATTGTGATCTTACTCAGCTTCAACGCAGGCACTCTCCATTGCACAATCTGCGGCCGTCTCGACAGCGGTAGCCCACGGATATGGCTATCATTTCGCGACTGTTTCGAGTCAAAATTTTGTCCAGGTCATGAAAGTACGTCGTCGCTAACGGCATCTGCAGCCTTGAGTCCGGCTAACGTTGTATCCAGTCCCAGTATGCCGCCTACATCTTATATGTCGCAAGCCTCTGCCTTTCCAAGTTATCTCTCTCGACATTTATCCGCAGCTTGACCCCGGTGCATAAGGATCACTTTCAGGCGGCCGTCCTGCAGGGGCTTATTACAATCGTGGGAGTGGTTGGCGTCATTGGGACGGCCTTTCAATGCCATGTGCCTCGTCCGTGGGATTACTGGCATGGGCAATGCTTCAACTTGGTAGCCGCCCTGTCCATTCTTAGTAGCGGGATCGCATCTAATCGGCACTGACTCGTGCTAGGCCGCCTGGAACTACTTTATTTCTGTATCGAATATTGTTACGGATTTAATGATCATTGCACAGGCTTTGCTCTTGATTGCCGGTATTCAGGCGACTTGGAAGAAAAAGGCCGTGTTCGCCAGTATATTTCTATCAAGAATCATGTTCGTGTGCTATTTCGGCCCTTTTTGTTGGAAGGAAAATGACTAACCTCTGTTTTGCAGCGTGATTATTGCGACAGTTATCGAGATTGTCTACTCCCGCGACGTTCGCCATTCCACTGATCCAACATACGACTACTGTCCGACTACAATTGTGTCGCTGGTAGTACAATGTGCGAGTATAGTCACGGCGTGCTGGGGCCAACTGAAGCCGTTCCTCAATCAGCTCAAGTCGAATGGGCTGCGTATTCGAGGGGTGGAATACCAATATTCGACTGGGAAGGGGCAATCGTCACGGTCATACGGACATAGCCGGGAGGAGCACCATGAGCTGGTTCCAGTGGCATCAGGGCAGAATCTGACTACGGTGTCGGCGTCACCGGCGTGGGACGCGGATAGCCAATCCAGTCAAACTGGGATCATCCGCGAGACGCGGACTTGGGTTGTGACTGGCGATGGAGGACATCACGGACCATAGGTCCTGAAATGAGTTCACTTCTTTCGTATCTCAGGTCCAGTTGGAGGGTGGTAAATGAACTATGACCGTCACTGGCACGTTTCCTCTGGTAAAAACTGTTTCAAGATAAATCTATACGGGATAGAATTATCATCCGGTCGGAGCCTCGACTTATTCGGCCGAAGAATGATTGATGACACTTTAGGATCATCAAAGTCACGATCCGGTAAAATCCTAAGAATCCGGGTTATGTTGGAATAGCATCATGCCACGCATAACATGCCATCGTCAAGCCACATCACCCCATAATACGAAAAACAACCAAAGGCAAGAATGACTGAGATTGTATAGCAAATATATAAAGCGCGTTCTGAGATAGCGACCGAGAGAGTAATCATCAATCTAGCATGGGAATATCTGCGTACATTCTAAACCCACCATCACACATCGCCTAATACTGTTCGCCACCATGGGCTCAACCACCGCTACCGAACAACTGTTCCACATCCTTTTGACCACAAGTCATCTTCAAAAGAACCCTAACAACGTTGTCGAAAAGGTCCGAATCCCAGCGACCTACACAAATCTCCAAGCGGCCAGAGCTGCTGCATACCGCTGTCTGTTTGACGCGGGCTACGAGAAGGAGTGGTTCACCACGTACGAGACCAAGCCGGAGATATTTGAGAACAACGATCTTCCCGAGCGATCAGGATTAGCCGTCTTTGCTGTTGCGCCGGATGGAACAGAATTCCGCGTTCATATTATCACAACCCCAACGGACGGAAAGCTCATCGATGAGGTCATTGAGGGCCACATTACCAAGCCATTGTACTACGTGGTACAAGCCAATGTCGAGTACAGCGCCGATGAGGGCAGCAGAGTGCGCGATATCGACATCGAGGGAGTCTTCCAGACTTACCAGGAGGCAAGAAACCTGGCCAGCCGGGTGTTGCTGTCCAAGGAAGATGCGATCACCAAAGAGAGTTTTGCCGAATACACCGAAGCAGCGCCTACGGAGAAAGATTGTGGATACGGAGAGAATGTGATTGTCCGCGCTGTGTCGGAATATGGGACAAATTATTTGATTTCCGTCATCAAGAATCAGGGACTGGAGGCTGTACATCTGGCGGAGGCGGCCATGAAGATATTGTGATGATCTGCTTGTCTCATCCGAGCGAGCGTTCTCTATTTATTTTAGCCATATTGCTTAAACAAGTTTAATCACGCTTCGAATGCATCCAGCGCAATGTTTATCCTGCATGCTAGCCCTTCTTTTCAGACTCTCTCGGAAATCCCAAACCAGCCAAAGCCTTGGTCGGTCCGACCTGTTTCCAGCGATCCAACTCATCTTCGCTTTTCAACCAAACGGAACCCATCATTCCGGCCGCATTGGCCGTGGTGCCCTCAAAATTGTTACTGCGCCTGGGGATGACGATCATCCACTCTCGGACCAACACGACGTTATGAGGAAAGTATTCTTCAGTATTGGTGCTAGCTGACTGTCCAAGCCTTTCTTTTGCCTCTGCCAATAATTCCCGGTGGACTTCAGAGAGCTTGGAGGGGCAGTCCAGACTTTCAAAATCAAGACCGCGAAGACATCGCAGAACGAACTGAAACGGAATCATCCCAGGGTCAAAGTTCGGGTCGTCCGGAAATAGATGGGCAGGGCGCGGCAGAATCTGCACATGTTTATGGTTCCTGCTTGCGCCAGCTATCGGCCCACAGTTGTAGATAACCAGATGAGGGGTTTTCGAAGATATCAGGACGCTGTGAATCGCCGCAAAGTCCTCCACACTGAGCGGTTCATGCTGCCGCCGGTAGGAGTCGCAGGTCAACAAGAGCAACTGTGGCCGGAAAACAGAAAACTTGTTGATTACGAGGAGATGCGTCCTATTAATAGTTGCAATGAGCAAGTCTGGATCGGCGTTGGCAATATCACTGCCTGGTCCAAAGCCTTCGGGTAATGCATTATCATTGGAGTGGAAATCGTCGCCAATATAAGCCGGCTTGGTGCGGAGTGAAGGACTAATATAAAATTCGAACTGGAATTGCTATATTGTTAGTGAGTGTCGATTGAATGCTGGAGTTTCTCACAGGAAAGCCCGCATCGTTCAGGCGTATTGTCGTTGGCGGGGAATAATATATGATGTCTCGAGCAACCAGGTCGTCGAACCTCGCCAGCAGAGTATCATAGTCAATCGCGGTTGCCATAGCACGTGGAAAGCAGCAGGGCCAGGATTGGTGGAAGCCAGGATGCGAATATGCAATTGCCGACCGATATCGAGAAAAAGAAAGAAACCAGCTCAATAAGAATAAGGATACCAAGAGCGGGGCCACTTTTGAACCAGGCTGTGCTTACTACGTGTCCATCTCCATCTCCATTCGATTTCTTCGCCTCCTGGCGGCTGACGGATTTAAAATCATGGTCACACTCATGCATTCAAGGGTCAATCCATACATTCAGTTCAGCCTTTCAACCCTTGCCGATCCAATATCTCTGGATTTCGAAGAGATGATTTCCAGAGATTGTCATCACTCTGCAGGCCCCTGAACTCGCAAGGCTGAGAACAGGACGAAATTAGTTGCTTCTCGGCAGGACCAGCTGACAGGCAGCTGGGCCAGATAGGACACTCTGTCTGTTGGTGGCGCACTACAGCATCATTCAGCCGACTCGCTCATGTCAGATTGGCCGGACAGAGTAGTCTCTGCCGAGCTCAAATGCACTGGCCCACTGATGAAGCTGACCATGGTTGGCAAGGAGTTGAGCCTTCCGCACCATGTCTGCAGATATAGTCTGGAGTCTAGACGGAAAGGTCCCCACATTCTTAACACTATCTGAGCTTGTCATTGCGGATCCATACCAGCAAAATGGGTAATGACCAGCCCATAAGCACGGACCGTGAGGATGCCAACTTCTCACGGTTAGAGGCGTCCTTCTCAGAGACAAATGTGCTCCCTCGCGGGAATTCGATTGAGATGAAGGCTATCTCTCGTCATACAAAAGCAACCGATTTGGAAGCCAAGGATTTAGACTTTAACTTCAATTTGAGCCGCAGCAACTACCCTCTCGGTAACCTCCAGTCCCTCCAGGACGTCTTTCCAGCGGTGCAGCATGACACACATCTGAAAAACCCTCGGAATTTTTCCGACGAGACTGAAATCATGTGTCTGGACGTGAATGAAGACACCGCATGTCAGTCAGAATGATCATCGTACAGGTGTTGATCGATTACTGACAGTGGAAAGCATGGAATACGCTCGACTCTTTGGGATTGGGCCAACTTCTTCGGGTAGGAGCATCAGTTCCGCCAGATTAACGACGCTGATAGGACAGGTTAGAGTATCCCAAAACCTTCTCATACGAATGCACCCTACGGCCATTCGAAACCTTCGCGATTACTTGCCTTGTATGTTCCAGACACCTGTCGCCTTCGCCCACTGACAGTCAGAATAGCTTCGTGCCTCTTATACCAGAGAAGCATACTTCGTTTGCAAATCGGATTTCCATGACGCAAGATAACACGGTGGACCTTTTCAAGTACCTGAACGCTGATCCGTCTTTCATTATGAACTTGCTTGGACGACCGGACTACTGGGCGCCGCAGACACGATGGACGTCCGATAGCAATAGTAACATATTAGCTTGTGGTCTGTTGCATCAGGCTGTTACATATGATAACTCGAAATTGGCTGACATCCGCAGATTTCTACTGTCAACACCCTCGCTGGAACTTGCACTTTCAAGGGGCGCCCCTCTCAGTATATGTGCGCTATAACGCGGCATTGCATCTCACCACCTACATCATTGCCCACAAGGAAGGAGACTCGAGCATCCAAGCCCTGCACAACATTTTCAACCTCGCAATAGGAACGGCATCGGCAGAGAAAAAGGCACGCCTACTGCTCGACGATCCGTTCGATCTCGCCGTCATCCTGTCCACATTATCCTTTGAGGCTTCGAAATATCACGCCCAACGATTCCGGCGATTCATGTGGACCCAGATCAACAAGGTCGACGACCATCTCGCGGGGCTCGAAACCAACGACCGCCGCAGGTTAGGAGAACTGACAAAGGAACTGCAAATCATCTCCCAAAATGCGGATTCGCATCTGGGCAACGCCGACGTCGCGATTATCACAGCAAGTGCGATCCGCACGGCGCATGCTCGCTTGCATGAAGCCATGGGTAGCCCGCCCCGGGTGTTTGAGCGCGCGTCCGACTCGATCACTTATGTCATTGAGTCCATGCAGAAGCAGAAGATATGGTTTCTCAACTACAAGAACCGCAAAGACAGCACGATGGCGTTGGTGTATAACCTTGTGACGCAGCAGGATGCAGCCAGTAACATTCAATTGGCGGCGAGTATGAAACGGGACAGTACCAGCATGAATGCGATTGCTGCGTTGACAATGGTCTTTTTACCGGGGACATTCATCGCTGTTAGTAGCCCTTCAGCCGGACTCGGAGGGGGAATAGATCCTGGTATTCTGATATTGTTTCACAGACCATCCTAAGTGCCGGTACCTCCAATGGCGGCCGTGATAACGCAGGGTTTGATTCGATATCGGTATGGTGGCTGTGGGCTGCGATAACAGTGCCTCTCACGCTGGTTGTCATGTCCAGTTGGTGGTTCTATAAGAAGCGAAACGACCAGATGCGCCCAGCGCCAATGGCTAAGGAGGAAGCCCATATCCCACCACCGGATAGAGAAACGTTCCGCTCTATGAGATTCTCGTCATGGAGCCGAAGAGACAGTGCTTCTGGCAAGGTCTGAGACAGTGAGTGAACGGGACCCGGTAGCCTGTACTTCTGGTCCCCGTAGATACCACCAGAATGCGCCTTGCACTGATAATGATTCCAATGTAACATAGGTTATTCGAGCTAATTAATTGGTCACCCTGTGCAAGTAAGAACTAAGGCATGCGGGTTTGTCTGGGTTCACAAACAGGACTAACCTGTACCTAATCAAGGGAGACTCCTGTCACGAGAACTGTATCCACCAGTGATCGATGGTATTGGTTTATATGAGAAATATAACGAATCAATTGCAGTCACAGAGGGTTAAAATGCGACCTCGTAACTTGCAACACAGACTTTGCGACCTGTTCCTTGGCCGCTCGGGTTACAAAGAATAGAAATCGTACTGACAGGATCGCCCAACAGACTCACTTCGACATCGGAGAGTCTGCAAGATTCAGACAGGGGTGGAAACAGCATATCCTCATGCCCTGGAGGGCGATGCAGCGCGAAGTCATCTACCGAATCTAGAAGCTGATAAAGGTCGCCCTCCTCAATCTCCATCACCTTTCGAGCCACGGATGCCAAGATCTGTGAATCCCAGAAGCCTTCCCTGTGGAAGCTAGCTTCCAGCAGCCGGATAGCATGGAGTCGAATCCGGTGCACGCGACATTTGATTGCGGTATAGTAGAGTGGAGCAATCCAGCCCATGTCTCCAATCGAACGCGACATGAAGAACTGAGCGGGTCGAGAGCCAAAGGTGGAATACATCGAGAGGAATTTCCAGAGATGCGCCAGCATAGTGATCATTTCCAGGAATTGGTCGGTATGCAGGTCGAAGACCATCTCGTCGCCAGGAGAAAGACAAGTCGCCGCCATGATAGTTATCATAATGTGATATGTGCGAAGCAACCCGTAGACGTGCGCCTGGTCTTTGGGCATACGGCCCTTCATGGTATAAATGGTGGTCATGTATGTGTTCAGCCACTGGGTAAGATTCTCCTGGATGGATTGCTGACGCTGGAGCAGCTCTGCTGGGGGGTCGCTCTTCGGACAGACATGTTCACATACTTCTCCATTCAACTGAAAGACTGTTCCCATCTGGTGGTGAAGCCAGGACCACGCCTCTTTCAAGGAGGGGAAGGTTGACGATTTACATTCCAAGAAGGGGACCTTGACCCGTAAAGAGGAACCACGGTGAACTTGCTTCAGCAGCTCAAGTTGAATGTGCAACCTGGACAATGCGTGCACAATCCAATCATCAACATACTCTTGGCCTGGTCCTACAAGGAGTTGGCCTTTCTTCTTCAAGAGACCTGACCCTTCAAGGAGGTTTAGTCCCTGTTGGAGATGGATACGTGCCGACTCGAAATGGCCTCGAAGCAGCTCGAGCGCAATGAACAGAACGCAGACAACGAGGGCGATTCGAAAGGCAGTCCGGTCCTTCGTCTTGAAATGAGGCTTTAGATAATTGATCGCCGTACTATAGCGGGTCAGGGTCACCTTTTCCTCGTCCCCTGTCTGGAGACCATCATCGTTCAAGATGCCTTGCCGATGGACCGAACTTAGGGCAAGGATGGCGTGCAGCACTGCGGGGTCGCTCATACCAGCCTGTAGGACAAGGCCGCTCCAGAATTCTGAGGGAAATGAGCCTGTCATTTTCGACCCAGTGCGTTCTTTGAACCACTGGAGGTAGCGGCCCTCTTCATTGCTGGTCCTCGTGGACAGTGGGACATATGACATTGGTCGGATGACAAGTGCAGAGTTCACAGCGATAGCAGGAGGTCTCGTAGGCCTGTTGGAGCTTCCGCCACCCCATATTCCGTACCCATCACAGGTTCGACCAGTGGAAAGACACCGACGGCACGCCGGATAGCCTTCATCACATTTGACCTTGCGAATCCTAGAATGACCTCAGCCACCCGCAGGCGTAGATTTCGACAGAGACTTACCGGCATGTGTGGCAGCCCGTCCTGACTCTTCTTTTGCCCATGCGTTTCAGTCGTCACATCTAACTGTCCATTTGATTGCTAAACCACAGTGTCCCTTCTCATCTTCGGGGAAAAGAGGACCTAAGCTGACCTGAGATGAGAGTCGATGGCCCCCACTCGCTAATTGCCGCTTTGTGGGGCCCACTGGTGGAGCTTCGCTACACTGGTCCTGGTTGGTGCACTCGGATGTTCTTACACTTGATTGGGCATCCTTAATAATTGTCTCACAGGCCCATCCCGAAAGGGTGCCCCGGATACTATGGGAGACTGGCAGTAATGGCGATTATTCAGATGATCAAGATAGAAATATCTTTTGCTCGTTCTTCATCTGTTTGGGTTTCAAGGCAATAATAGGCTTACTCGGCAATGCTTTACTCTGATTGGCTGTTCAATATCCCTATACTGAAAGCCACTATTAGCGAGGCTGCGCTTGGTGGCTCAGGGCTTGAATTGCAGTAGGTCCTTGTGGGAAGAAATTGATATTCCTCATTGATCTACGTAGGGGTGATAGCTATAAGTATCCAGCATGCGTCCGACTTGGTTGACATTTACAACTCCCGGAATAGACCAATCCAGTGTCATTCCGCCGACATATATATATATTCACTGTATCCTGCACTGATATGAGTTCCAGAATGGCTGTCAACCGCCAGTTGGGCAAAAAAGGTCCAACTGTTCCGGCCCTGGGACTCGGTCTAATGGGAATGTCCTTCTGGGTCTATGGCTCGATTCCCAGCGACGAGGAGCGGTTCAACGTCCTTGATCGTGCCGTCGAGCTGGGAGAGACATTTTGGGATACATCCGAGTATGTCTCCGCGAGTAACGTCAATCAGGTAGGCTCTAATTGCTGACTACTCCTGCCTACATAGTCTCTATGGCGACAATGAGGAGCTCCTGGGAAAATGGTTCCGACGGACTGGAAAGCGCGACCAAATCTTTCTCGCGACCAAGTTCGGGTTTGTCCAGGGAGGAAAGCTCCATGAGATCAACAGTTCTGCCGCATATTGCAAGAAAGCTTGCGATGAAAGTCTCAAAAGACTGGGGGTCGATTCGATTGACCTTTGTTAGCTACCCAAATCCTTCTGCTGGACCGAGGGCTGTGTTGCTAACTAGTTTTCTGCCGCAGACTATTTGCACAGTCCTAACCCACAGACTCCCATCGAGGAGACTATGAGAGCTATGGTAGAACTTCAGGCGTAAGGCACAAAATCGGTCAATGTTGAATGCTCAGAAGCTCATTCAGTCACAGAGAAGGCAAGATCAAGCACATTGGCGTGTCATCTGTTTCCTCCGCGACCCTCCGGCGCGCATGCAAGATTGCCAATGTGGTGGCCGTCCAAACCGAGTACTGCGTCTTTTCACGCGATATCGAGGGCCCAGCAGGCACAAACCTCCTAGCAACCTGTCGAGAACTGGGGGTGGCGCTTGTGGCGTCCTGTCCCCTTGGACGAGGGGTCATCACGTCCACTTTCAGCAGGGGTGAGCCAGTCGGCAATAGTGAAGATAAGCGACCGAAGGTCATACCCAAATTTCTAGAAAAGAATCGCGAGCGCAACGTCCAGATTGCCAGTCAGTTCGCGGCACTGGCGGAGAAGAAAGGTTGCACTGTATCCCAGCTGGCTCTGGCCTGGCTTTTGAAACAAGGGCACGATATCTTTGCCATTCCAGGGACGAGAAGGGTCAAGTACCTGGAGGAGAGCTGGGGCGCTCTCCAGATTTCACTGACGGACGCGGAGGAGGCCGAGATCAGGACTTTTGCCGAGGAGAACGAGATGGCTGGTGGCCAGGTCCCGGACGAGTTCGTGGAGTATCTCTATCGCGATACTGCCGAGGAAAGTTGATCGGAGTTTTATTTTGACTTTTATTGAATAGCCAGAGAATTATTCCTCGTGTTGAAATCGGTATCAATAATATTCTACAAGTCGACCCTTCATCTGTCGGAATAGCTGTATTCTGGATTGTTCATGGAGCAGCACTAGACTGGCTGACTCAATATGCAAATCCATAACGTAATCCACGGCCGAGCCGTCCACACGGCCGTCCCGTCCATTTTCGCGCCCATCTGCTGCAGATTTGAAGCCTTTCAACCCCCAACATCATTAAATTAGACTATTAAGTAGCTGAATATATAGCTAACTATTAGGGCAACTCCTTATGGTATGTCCAACAGTCCAACATCCACTACAGCGTGGTGCAGCGCGCTGACGAGGTATAGGTGTGGGCTCATCAACCTGCTCAATAAGTGGCATATCAAGCTGCTGAACACGATTCTGGCCTTCTTGTACTGATAATATGGTATTATCACCTAGATTAGCATGTCTTCTTGCCTTCTTCTTTCTTTTTCATTCATTCTCTGCCCGTAGAACCTTGATTTCTTGTTGTAGTAGCAGGTTTGCGTTCATTGCCATCTGTGCAGCCTTCTCAAGATGTTGGATATGAGACATTGGACTACTAGAAAGCTTTCTTTTCTGAAGGCTTCTCTGTATGCTGCGGAGCTTGTGATCAAGCTGGCGAGTATTCTGAGGTGTTTGAAAGGCAGATGATACTGAACCTTCAAGAAGTGGTGGCGTTGGCGTATGAAGCTGAAAAGTAATCTTTTCAAGAACCCTGTCTTGATTAAGTGGCTTAAGTCCAGCTCCTGCAAAGCCACTGCATATATTCTCATGATTAAAGATCATCTCGCGCGCAGGAGGATATAGATGTAGAAAATCCTCTTTATCAATGTGATTATTCCCAGCCACCATCATCCCTTTAACGAGTTTCCTATATGCGCGCTTAAGTGGGCCAAAAACACCAACATCCAGCGGTTATAGAAGGTGAGAAGTATGAGGTGGCATACAGAGACAGATAATTGCATTCTCCTCACAGAAAGTATCAAATTCTGGAGTTAAATGGCTAGAATGGCCATCAAGAATAAGCAGCCGCTTTGCACCAGTTGAATATCACCTAGAATAAGGCTTAAACACATCTTTTAACCAGCGGAGACCTATCTCATCTGTTATCCAGCCATTTTAACTAGTTGCAATTAACCAGTCTTGAGAAAGCTTAGGTTCTTGATATCAAGCAGCCTGGTGTTGCTTTGCCTTCAGGATGAGTACTAGTGGGATAGATAGCCCTTTAGAGCTTACATATTCAATGATAGTAACCCATTCCCAATTGCCCTGGATGACTGTATGAGGTCTCTCACTGCGCTCTACAGCAGTAATAACCTTAGATGTTGTACAGAGTCCCATTGCAAAGCCAGTTTCATCAAAGTTCCAGATATCATCTTCATGGACGCCATGTTCCTGAATGGCTTCAGATACAGCTTTAAACCACTGTTTTATAACCTTTGGATTCTCCTGCTTTGCACGCTGGTATGTAATCCTCTGATTATATCTTGCACGTAGTTCAGGACGGCGTTTAACAAAGGAGGAGGCCCAGTTAACTCCAAGGACTGCAGTAGCATCTTGGGAATGTTCATGAAGTAAAGTCTGTGCCATTCCACGCAGAAACTCTGGACGGATTGAAAAGCCTTGCTTATCTGCATCTAACAGTCTCTTAACAAGGACATCCTCTTCAATTGCTGTTAATTTATGGCCACTAGCACGTGTTTCTGACCGTGGATTGATTCCTTTGAGCCGATCAAGGAAGGTAGATTTAGGCACTCCAAATATGGCTGCAGCCCTTGATATTGATTGAACTTTTTTACTTTTATAAGCTGCAATAGCCATTTGCATCCGGTTTTCTTGAGAGAGCGGCATTTTATGTAGTAGTGGTGAAAAAACGACGTGTTGAAGAATGATTGTAGAAGACGGCGCGAAAATGGACGGGACGGCCGTGTGGACGGCTCAGCCGTGGATTACGTTAACTATCCAAGCCACCCAATCCGCAAAATTGGTGGGTCTGGGTTGACCTGATCCAACCCACATGGATATGGATAACCATTAAGTACATACGACCTAGGGCCTCTTAGACTGATAAGTTTATCTAACCTTGTGTAGGCCCAGATAGGGATATATTAGTCCTATTTATCTATATACAAAATAGAAATATTTGGTAAATAGGGGCTATGGTAGATTTTTGATTTTATCCAGTCCAGCCCGTACGGGTAGGGTGGTCTAGATAGGAGGTTCAACCCATATCCAATCCATAACCCAGTCTGAGCGGCACTATTTTCTTTCCGCATCCAGTCACGTGCTCACCTATTTCAAGCTTAGTGGTTTTTCTAATCATAAGCGTGCTAGGGGGCCATATCTTTCCTCTTTAGGTCCAACCATATGCATATCCTAGAATATTGATCTAGCCAATCAATTGCGACTGCTGGAAAGCCAGGACCTTTTTCAGCTGTCCTTCAAAAAAGCTACTCTCACAGTCCACGTTTTGACGTTCTCAAAAATGGCACAAAAGCAATTATTCCTGCTGCCACCGGACTTGATGGAGTCTCAATTATCCACGATTGACCTCCTCACAGCCATGTTCCCATCTCCTGGAGAGATCGACATACCTGTGTCTACTACTCAATGCATTGAAAAGCTCCGCGACTGGTGCGAGAATCCATCTGCTGTCCCCTCCGGGATTCCTTCAACCTTACACCTTGCAGTCTGTTTACCGATTGCGGGGGGAGAAAAAACAATACAGGTCAACATATCAATACCGGTGCAATCTGATGCTCAGGACCTAGCACAGCCGCCGTCATTGAGTTACTCATTGCGCCAACCAGATTGGATGTCCAAAGCTGAGCTTGCCACGCTAGCCGCTGCAATGCCCACAGATGATCTGTTTGAGGCCTTTGAATACGTCCAGGATGAAGCGCTGCGCTTCCTCGAGGCCCAGCGGGCTTCAAAGTCTGAAACTACCAAGAGTAGTTCCGGGCCGATCGTCAGAGTCTGGTTCTATTTCCCGTCCCTCTCAACGCGAGAAAAGCGGAACGATCTGGTCAATCACGCCCCTGACTATTCCCTCACAGGCTTCGTGCTGGCGGGCAAGCCTGGTGTGTTGTGTCTAGAGGGGGTGTCGACGGACATTGATGCTTATATGAGCTTCATTAAGACACACTCGTGGGGCGATATCCCCAGCCATCAGAAAAAGGTCAGTGAGAGATATCGGGAGACAAAGGACGTTCAGAGAGTGTTCTCTGGGATGGAGGAAATCACAGATTCCCTAGGGGAACGAAGTGGCCACAGAGCCAACCGGGGCGACATGCAGGCATTAGAGACATGGCTACAGGCGCGAGGGTTGCATGAAGCATTTGACAAAGTGATATTTTGATATCAGTCATTCACCGCGAGGCTATGTGGGACGCGTTACCTTGAATTGTGTCATATCTGTAGCATTATTCCTAGTCAGGGTGGTCCCTTAAGAAGCGGACTGGTTTCAATCATGCATCGCGTTTCTTGTCAGCATCGAGAAGGTCGACAAGAGACTGGTCCAACCTTGGTGGGCTAAATAGCCCTCGTCCCTTCGTCAACTCTCTCATCAGAATCAACCTGCAGCTGGCCTGTTGACAGCAAGAGCTCAACAACAGGAGTCCGTTGAAATTTTGCCGCCCACGTTAATGGCGTCATCCCTTGAATTTCTCTTGCATCAAGCTGTACCCTTTAAACCATCTCAAATACATGTATCAGTTAATATCACCAGAACTGCGAGCATGGGCCAGAAAACAGAAACTTCAGCTGAAAACAAAGTCCGGGGGGATGAGTTCGATATTACATCTGGAAAGGCGGACATTGGGACCAAGGATGATGCGGAAAGTGGCCGAGATGCGAATGAACCAGTATTTTTAGTGTCACTGCGGGCAATTTCCTCTGTCCCCTCCCCCGCAACCAACCTTTCCGTCCGAATTGACTCAATCGAGGGTCATACAAATACTTGCTACAATGACGATCGTACATATGGGTAGGTATAATTTCCATTAGATCAATCAACACGTCGTACTCACATAATCTAGTCCTGTTCAAGTTCCGTCCAGAGGTGACGCAGGAGCATAAGGACACCTTTGTCCGCGAACTTAAGAAACTCAAGGACCTCGACTGCGTCAAGGGTCACCGGCTGGTTGTCGGCGGTCCCTCAATCACTGATCCGATCGAGAGAAGCAAAGGCTTTCAGATTGCACTGTTGAGCTTCCACGAGAACCGGGAAGCTTTGGAAGCATACCAGGCCAGCAAAGAGCATCATTGGTAGGTGCATATCCAGTAACGGTAGTCGATAGTGCTCAGGCGAGGGCTGACAAAGAGATAGGGTAACCAGCACATACATGTTCCCCTACAAGGAGGATCTCATCCGGTTTGACTTTGAAGTGGCTCCCGAGGACGAGTATATGTGGAATTTCTTGCCAATTGATAGCCTTACACATGGGCTAGCAAAGGAATAAGTCTTATCTACTTTTGGAGACGCGGTCGGCTTGATTCTAAATTCTCAATCGTAGCACCATGTCGGATGACGTAGTAGAGTCTGGATATACAGTATGGCTGACAGAGGAATATTTTGGCTATAAATGACAATCTTCGTTACTATATACCCAAATCTGAGAGGCTAGAATGGACTGCGGTAGTTACGGAATTGATCCAGGGGTTGAGCGCTCTCCAGGATATGCTGCAACAGCGTGCCATAGTCCCAGCCCATAGCTGCAGCGGCAATGGCAGTCAAGCTGGCCTGATCCTCCCGGCCCGGCCGTCCTGGACCGGTCATATTCTGTATCGTTCAGTATATTTGCAGGAAGAAGGTGAAAAGCAAGGACTTACCGGCTTCATGTTGATATCGAACAGAGCGAAGTGGGATCCGTCGCGGAAGCGTCGCACATCTACCCGAATCGGCGTAGTGGCACCGATCAGCCTGGCTACCCCTTCGCACTGCCGCATCACCTTGTTATACGCCGGGTCTTTCATTTCGTCCTCCGACACCACGCGGGAGTTGGCAGTGACCGCCACCACCCCATTATATGGGGCTATACCATCCGTGTGGTTGAAGCGCGTCACTGGTACCATACTCCAGTAGTCCGGACGAGAAGGCGTCGGCGGCATGACGGTGATAGTCGCCTCCTCCCCTGCCAGAAACTCCTCGAGCATGATCAGCGGTGATTCTGCCAGTAAGTCTTCGGCATGTTGTTGTAACTGAGCGGCATCATAGCAGACTCGGACGCCATGACTGCCTCGGCCCCGCACCGGCTTCCCCACGATCGGATAACGATCGACCTGATTCACGATCTGGCGGACATTATCGGGGTCCACCATCCACGCACGAGGCAAAGTGAAGCCACCCAGTTCGCGTAGTTTGTTGTTCAACAAACCCTTGTCATCGAAGTTTTCGACCAGGCCCGGCGGTTGCCCAACGACGTTCAGATCGGACGCCAGAGCAGTTAATCGGCTTGACGTCTGGAGAGGATGTGACGCAAAAAGGATAGTGTTTGCCCAGAGATGAGTAGCACCTTGTTGAACGGCAGAGTAGATTCCCTCCTCTGTGTCAGGGAAGGACCAGCCCTGGTCAGAAGAATCTGGTGGTGATGGATTGGGAGTGAGGACCCGGACGCCCTTTTGTCGTAGGGAGTAGGCAATATCCGCTCCAGAGTCCTGGTAACCTGAGAAGGTAAGTACAGAAGCCCCGTGCGAGTTGAATAAATGAGTCACTTGCCTCCAGGCTTGCGAGGTTTACGCACGCCGTTGATGACGGGCGGATCGATGGCCTGGAATAATACAGCGACAGAGGGGGAACAAGCGGAACTGCTCAGAGCGCGGGCGCATCGACTGAAAGAGCGCGGTCTGCACGCGACAGCTGGATTTGCTGCCATTATGTCCCACTCGAATAATGCATTTGTCCTTGAGCATAGAGATGAGCTGCTTTCGAGTTGGTTTAAAAAGGAAGGAAGGCCGATCTTGGCATCGGAAACAGCCGAAAACGCGGACAGAACATCGGCTACATTCCGAGAATTCATATACAACTCGGACTAGATCTGCCTAGCTAGAATACAACGCATCACAGATCTATACGAGGTCTATATCATTTGCGAGAACATTGACCCAAACATAAGAACATGACACATGGTTGTGCTTGAAACCAACTGTCCTTGGATGAGAGTGGCTGGCTTATACCAAGCTAAGTGCCAAAATGATGGGCCATCTGGACCGACTGCTCACTCTTGAATCGGCATGGTCCACAAAGGGTTAGGACTCATTTTTAAGATTCCATGTCTTAATTCTACTCCTAGTGATGCGAATTAATTTTCCCTTGCCAAACCTGTCTAGAGCTTCCCAAGTGTCTCTCCCAGCTCCGCCGCACGAGATGTAGCAGACCGTACTGCTTTGTCAACAATATCCTTAAAATTGAGCGACTCAAAAGTCTGGAGCGCGGCGTGCGTTGTCCCGTTTGGACTCGTCACGTTCTTGCGCAGCTGGGCCGGTTCGTCCGACGACTCGACGAGCATCTTGCCCGCACCCAGGCAAGTTTGAGCTGCCAGCCGCGTGGCCTGCTCCTTGGAGAGACCCAGTGCAGTGGCACTCGCAACCAAGTGCTCCACCATAGCGAAGAAATATGCAGGGCCAGATCCTAGTCAAAGTTACTTGTGTTCGTTGCATGAAAGCTCCCCATGATACTCACCGGACAGACCGGTCACAACATCTAGCAGTTCCTCCTTGTCAACCCACTCGGTGGCCTTGCTGACGCTCTGGAGCAGAGCGCCGATAAGCTCCTTCTCCTCTGCTGTCACATCGTCGCTAGCCAAAAGACCCGATGCGCCCTCCTTGACCAAGGCCGGAGTGTTGGGCATGACGCGGACGATATGCGCAGTCCTGCCATCATTCGTCTTGAGCCACTCCTTTAAGCTATTGAGCGTAATACCCGCCGCGATGCTGACGACCACAGGCAGTGATGTGCGCTGAGACCAGGCGGTGGCAAGCTCGTGACAGACATTCTTGGTGGTTTGGGGTTTGACGGCAATGACAACAATATCTGCCTGTCCTGCAGCTTCACTATTGGAAGTAGTCGTCTGCACGCCCAGCTTTCCGATCTTTTCACGGTTGACATCCCATGGCTCTGAGACGGTGATGTTGGCGGGGTTCATGTCCTGGCTCACAAGACCTCCGATGATAGCCGAGGCCATGTTGCCGCCGCCGATGAAGGCGATTTTGCTCTGCTGTAAGGATGGCATTTTGAGATATGTATTTTGATGCGTGATGTAACGGATCTGAGATGACAACACAAAGAATAAATGAAGCTATGATGTGACTTTTGCAGAACGCGCCGGATCAAGGACGGCCCGATGTCGGCGGAGGGGTCTAGCCCCACTGGAAACGCGGTGAGACCACAGTCATTTTTGGGGAATATCCTGATCCTTACAATGGGCATTGAATGGCGCCTTCCAGATATCAGACAAATTGTGCAGAAAGTCTGTGCGGCCTGTTGATAAGAGTGTATATTCCATGCATTGGATAAGAGGGCATACTTTCACCCCGGCTAGATACATCCCGCCCAGTTCCTCAAATGCAAACTCTGGCATCCAGGACAGATTCGAACATGGATCCCTGCTGCTTTGACTGGATCAAGGTTATCCAATCTTAGTTGATCCTGTGATCGACGCCATAATGGTGGATCTATGACTTAGTGCCTCCTGAAGCGGTTCTAGGAGTCCTGAGTATCACAGACTATCTCAGTGTTAACATCCAAGTCGATAGGTATCTACCAGAGCCATTGCTCCAGTAATTACTCTTCCAAGAGCGCGCCAACGAACTTGATGACCGAAAAGAGAAACCCCATTCTTGGTCGGATCCTGGTATTGTGATACTTGGGGTTGCCTCTGAAACGCTGATACCCCCCGAATACATGGATGGCGCCCGAGAAGTTTATAATTCGGCTCTGGTGTCTGCTTGGTATCTTGCGACCGGTCTAATCGGTGTGTCTGTCATTGGAGCCGTTGGGATACCCTAGAAGGCAAGCCTCAGGACTGTCAATAAGTAAATTTGAATCCACCAGTGGAACCGGTCATGAGGAAGCGCTATGCTGGGAAGCTGTTCATGACAATCGCGGTTATTTACAGGTATATGGCATCTACGTATATTTCTTATAGTTATCTTTATATAGTCTAAGTATGTTATTGAAGCTAGACATGGATTGTGACACCTGTGAGTGTAGCTTGAGATCAGTTATAAAAGGAGTATCATATTATGGCCAATCACAGAACCATCTGTAACTGTATTAGACACAATGCAGAGCCTTGAGCTATTACTGTGAAGCTGTGCCACTATCCCCATCGTTGCATGTTTCTGACACTGGGAAAGACGCGTCCGACACGGATACAATCCCTGACAGAATCACTTCAGTTAATCTTGAATCTCCTGGAACAGCTCCCGCCATCTTTCATCTTCCGCTTCTCCACTGTCGTGGTCAAAGGGATCTTTATTGACCTCTTTAGCATCCACCAGAATCTCGTTCCGCAACCTGACAGTTCCTGAGGCAAGCTCCGGACCAAAATCGTCGGAGTCCGGCAACAGATGCGGTCCACTTTCGTCTGCGCGCTTCAGATCCCGCGAGATTTTGACTTTAAATTCCTGCCCGGGACGGAAAAAATGTTCCTTGGATCATCGCTACTCCTTACCCGGAGCAACTCCCACCATCTCTACATCCCCTTGGCTAGCCGCCAAGCCGAGCGGATGTTCTGCCTTGCGCGCCACTGGACTGCATGGTGGATTGATGTTGATCACTCCCGCTCAGTGACTCAAAGTGGCCAACGTCGCTGACATCAATATTCGGTCCTGCCAGTAACCTCTCAGCCACGCAACCACGACAGAATAGCGTGGCACACCAGAGCAGGGCTGGCGCCTTGATCTTTGACCACCCACCTTGTAAATTAGTCACCTACAGAGACGGTCAGGGATACGTCAGGTTAATTCCTGTCATTGACATTGAGGTCTATGTATGGCTTGGCCAGAAGCAGCTTGATTACCACTAAGTGCCCTCGCTTGGCGGTTTCGTGCAGATCGATTAACGGGTGGTTTAAAAGGACCTGGGCCACATATCCTTTTGGTGGTAGTTAGGGAACCCTCTAGACCAGTTCGACAGCTCCTGCTCCTTGCCCGGAATATTCTTATAGTAGGTGAGATCTTGTTTGAGCAATCAAAGCATATATCACATTCTGTTTAGCCATTTTGTCTACCTAAGAAACTAATCACGCCTCCCAAAATCAACACACTCTCCAGTGGCCGAGACTGATTCTGGCCGGTACTAGCGCTTGCACTTAATACGCAATAATATTCTTTTGTAAGTTTCCCATCGTGCCTCTAACTAAGCCTTCTGTCTCCCCCCTGTCAGCCATTCCGCGTTAATGATGTGTGTAGGGTGAACGCATGTACTTAAATTCAGAAGGATGCAGGTCTGATTCTGTTAGCTAATTGGAGAATTAAAGATGATGCTAGGTTATCTGGAAACTTGAAGCAGAGGAAACTAACTGATAAAGTCCTTTACTACAATGTAAGGATAAACTTGAATAAGTATGCTGTGTATAAAATAAACAGCCTTTAAACTAGCCAAGCAATACTATAAATTCCTAGTAGCAGGATGGTGAGAGCATCACTAGCCAAAAGATACCCAGGCCAGCAACCCCGTAGGATCCTGACAATATCAAAACAATAACCCAAAGTCCTTCAGTCAGTTCCACAGTCATGCCTAAGATTTGAAAAATTACTTATCATCATTTACCTTCTACAACCTACGACGTGTCATAATACTGTATAATTCAAACCAGATATGTGATATCCTCAATGTACTCAGATAAGTTTCGTCGTGGTTTCGTAGTCTAGAACTTCAGTAGCCTGCTCCTCTGGCCCAGCAACTTTTCCTCGGTCCCCACAATTGCAGCTTTACCCACGGCTGGGTTTGATGCAGTTGCTCACGTATTGGTTGACGGAACCTTGTCCTTAGGCCAATAGTTTGAAATATCTGATCTCTAAGCAATTCTAGATTTGTTTATATGCAAAGAAACATTAAAGTCGGGAAGGCAGCAAACAGCCCGGGCTAGATGAACACTATTTCTGTCTATAGGGATGTAGCTTGCTAATGACTCGAGCAGCTCTGATTTGTGACACAGATACCTTATTCGAATGATCTGCGCGGAAGTTGGAGCCAGGTCAAGAAAGAGAGCGTTGTGGAACAAGTGGGATTTATGTTATTCCTTTGTCTACTGCTTTCTGCCAGGAGCCAATCAGATCTTCAGATCTTCTTAGTCCGTTGTAAGGTTTCCGTTGACGGTCTGCAGTACGGCATTAGTCCTGTTTAGAATGTAGATCATGGGTTTGGCCAGGGGTTCATGTCGGCTCCGCTTGGGCATCACCAACACATGGCAATTCGTTGTACACACCCTAGAAAGAACAGACCTCAGCGAAACGTTGTACCCCAATTCTCCTATTCGNCTTAGTCCGTTGTAAGGTTTCCGTTGACGGTCTGCAGTACGGCATTAGTCCTGTTTAGAATGTAGATCATGGGTTTGGCCAGGGGTTCATGTCGGGGTAAAAAACATTCAAAACAATATTGAGTCTTCGCCTGAAGATCATCACAGCCAAGGTGAACAAGTCCGGTTTCGTAGTGTTCATCACCCGATTGAAGCTTCAACTGGCCCACTTGTTACCATGGCTGTTCCCCACTGACGATTCTTCTAACTTACCACAGTAGGGAAATGGACTCTGTAAAATCATTCCAAATCAGTGGGGTGAACCATGGAAACGATTCAGCATTCTGATTGGTCAAATCTGACTTTCACAGAGTTGGCAAAAACCTTTTACTGAAAACAGCAGGAGGCGCTTACCAGTAAAGCTTATTGCAAGTTGGGGTTGACCATGCC